AGACGAAGGTGGAGGCGATTGAGAAGCTCAAGGCGGCCGGGCTGGAGATTGTGTCGATCGTGGTCCTCATTGACCGGGAGATGGGGGCGAAGCAGTTTCTCGGGGGCCTCGGCTACGACCTGGAGGCGGTCGTCACGCTCTCGCAGCTGCTGCCGCTCTGGCGACAGTCCGGGGCGATCACGCAGGCGCAGATGAAGGAGGTACGGTCGTTTATGGCGGAGGCCAGCAGCAAACTGTGAGGCGGTGGCGGCGGCGGCGGCGCACCCCGCCAGGGAGGAAGCGGAGGGAGTCAAAGGAAGTGGAGGGAGAGCGCGTGCGTGCGCCGCCCCCGAGACGCATGCAAAGTGCACTGCAAGCCCCCATTTCCACTCCATGAACGCATCCATCATCCACGCCACGCACCTGTCATAACATATATGCATATATATATATGCAAATGCCTGCACGTGTGTGTATGGCGTATCCGCAGTGAACCCGTTGGCTGGGAGGGGGGCGGATAAACGCAACGAACAGCGCCAGTGGAAGAAGGTCGTGTGTGCGTGTTAGGGAAAGGGTAAAAGGGAAAACCAACCAGCCACCAGACGCCGTCAGAAAGAAAAAAAGGAAGAAAAAAAAACGGTGGTGAGTTGATCTGAGGGCTGTAAAAGAGGGGTTACGTGATGGAATTGGCGTCGGCGGCGGCGGGCGACAGGGGTCGAGGCGCAGAGGTGTGTTTTGTGTGGGTTGCACGTGAGCGGGGTGTGGGGCGGCAGCAGGAGAAGAGGGGGAGAAGTCAAGTGTGTTCATGCCTCTCGTGGCGCCCGGTTGCTCACAGCTTTCCTTCGCCCCTCCTCCCGACCCCTCACAGCGAAGCCACATCCATCGCGTACGCAGAAGGGGGGGAGATAAATATATTTAACCCTATTTCTTTGCTGGTTTCCATGGCGGAGCTGCAGCCTGTTGCAAGCCTGCGGGGCAAGAGCATCACAAGCGCCGAGCAGTTCACGCGCGCGGACATCGACGCACTGCTGCGGCTTGCCGGCGCCATGCAGCGCAGGGTTGAGGGCGGCGAGGTGCTGAACCTTCTGCAGGGCCGCATCATGACGCCACTCTTCTTCGAGGATTCCTCCCGCACCTTCAGCTCCTTTTGCGCCGCGATGATTCGGCTGGGCGGGAGTGTCGTGAACTTCAAGGTGGAGACGTCGTCGATCAGCAAGGGCGAGACCCTCACCGACACCATCCGCGCACTGGACTCCTACAGCGACGTGCTGGTGATGCGGCACCCACGGCAGGACGCGGTCCACGAGGCCCTCAGCGTGGCGCAGCACCCCATCATGAACGCCGGCAACGGCGCCGGCGAGCACCCCACGCAGGCGCTCCTGGACACGCTCACAATTCACGCGGAGCTCGGCTGCGTGGACGGCGTCACCGTCGCGCTGATTGGCGACCTCAAGATGGGGCGTACGGTGCACTCGCTCCTGAAGCTCCTTGTGCGCAACTTTTCGCTCAAGTGCGTGTTTCTTGTTGCCCCGGACGCGCTGCAGATGCCGCAGGATGTCTTGGACTCCCTGCAGCAAGAGATCGCCGCAACGGGGGTTGTGATTCGCCGCACACACGCACTCACAGAGGAAGTCATGCGTCAGAGCGACGTGTTGTACGCTACTCGGCTGCAGAAGGAACGATTTGCGGCTTCCGCAGGCGATGATGCGGCCGCAATGCAGTCTTTTGCGGCGGCGAAGGCTAACATCACCATCGACGCGGCACGCATGCAGCTGGCGAAACCAAAAATGATTGTGATGCATCCACTGCCGCGCAACGATGAGTTAAGCACCGCCGTTGACACGGACCCGCGTGCGGCCTACTTTAGGCAGATGCGGTACGGAATGTTTATGCGCATGGCCCTCCTCTGGAGTGTATTGGCGTGAAGTGTGCGTGTGCTTGTGTGCAGGCATGCGCCACGTGTGTGCCGCAGGCGGCGGCGGTGCTCCAGGCACCGCCATGCTTCCTGCCCTAAGGCTGCCTCATTTCCGAACAAGACAGCAGCCGCAACGGGAACAAGCAAGTGCGGTGTGATTGGAGCCAGTGCGAGCAAATCTCAGTACCACGCAAGGCAGGGGGTGGGGGGCGGGTATACGCATAGCTGCGAACGTTGACACGCATAAATCTTAACGGATAAAATGACCCAACTCGCAAAGGAAGAACACGGACCAAAACTGGACGTGGATGATGGGGGGAGAAGAATAACAATAGCAATGAAACCGCGTTCGCAGGCCCTTCAATGGGTGTGCTTCTTCCTGCGGATCTTTGTGTGGGCGCGAGGAAGGGGGAACGAGGAGTCGTGGGGCTTCGCGAGGCACGCGCGGGCCGAGAAAGCGAGCAAGCGACGACGAAGGTGTTTGCGCCGCTGAGCGAGGCAAACCAGTGTCGGGGAAACCGCTCGGACTTTGGTGTTTGATTTGTTTTTGGTTTTGCTTTTCCGCGGCCATGGCGCTGCTGATTGCACTGCGGCGCTGTTGTGCATTTTTGGCTGTGCTCTCTTTTTTGTTCTCCCCCCCCTCCACACACAGTCACCAGGCATACGTCAATGAGTCTGAAGCTCAGCGTCCTCGGCCATGGCTTCGCCAACCCCTTCATGAACGCGGCGGGTGTTCTCTGCAGCACGGAGGAGGATCTTCGCTGCATGACGGCCTCCGCCAGCGGCTCACTTGTGACAAAGAGCTGCACGAGCGCCCCCCGCGATGGCAACCCCGAGCCGCGCTACGTGTCCCTTCCGTTCGGCAGCATCAACTCAATGGGGCTGCCGAACCTCGGCTTCGACTTCTACCTGAACTACGCCAGCCAGCTGCACGACTACGACAGGAAGCCGCTCTTCCTCTCCATGTCGGGCCTCTCCGTGGAGGAGAACGTGGCGATGGTGCGCCGCCTCGCCCCCGTGGCGCAGGAAAAAGGGGTTGTGTTGGAGTTGAATCTCTCCTGCCCGAATGTGCCCGGCAAACCGCAGGTGGCGTACGACTTCGCGACGATGCGCACGTACCTGGAGCAGGTGTCCTCGGCGTACGGACTGCCCTTTGGTGTGAAGATGCCGCCGTATTTTGACATTGCCCACTTCGATATGGCGGCGGCCGTCCTAAATGAATTCCCGCTTGTGAAGTTCGTGACGTGTGTGAACAGCATCGGCAACGGCCTCGTGATTGACGCGGGGACGGAGTCCGTGGTGATTAAGCCGAAGCAGGGGTTTGGCGGGATTGGCGGCAAGTACATCCTCCCCACGGCCCTGGCGAACGTGAACGCCTTCTACCGCCGCTGCCCGGAGAAGTTGGTGTTTGGCTGCGGCGGCGTCTACAGCGGCGAGGACGCCTTCATGCACATCCTTGCCGGCGCGTCGATGGTGCAGGTGGGAACCGCACTGCAGGATGAGGGGTCAGGCATTTTTACGCGGCTTGCGGATGAGTTGCTGGCGATCATGGCGAAGAAGGGGTACAAGACGCTGGACGAGTTCCGTGGACGTGTCAAGACCATTGAGTGACGGGGGGCGGAGGGAGGGGCGATAGGCTCCGGGGTGCGTCTCCATCTATATCTATCTTTCTCTTTTTTTTTTCCTTCTCCCCACATCCCTTTCCACCTCCTGCTCTCTGTGCGTCTGCGTCTGGGCGGCGGATGGCGAGTGGGAAGCGGAGGAGACTGCGTGGCTCCCACGCGGCCTGGGGAGGGGCGGAGGGTTCGCTGGCACTCGCCCCTCCCCACGCTTTTTTTCGTCGTCGGCCGCACACGTTCACACGGCAGGGGGAGGCGGGGCTGTGGGGCGTTGCAGCAGGGTGCAAAATAACAAGTGCGAAGACGGCCGGGCAAAAAAAAAACAACAACAACAAAAAACACATACACACGGCAGAAGAAATAAGAGGCGGAAATCTTTTCGAGTGACTGTGATGAGGTCAATAGAGTGTGTGTGTGTGTGTGTGCGTGTGGCGGGGGGGGGGTGCGTGTCGCCGATGTGGGATTCCCTCCCGCCGCCCGCACTTCCCACAATTCACGTGCTTCCAACTTCTGACGCGACTTCCCTCTCCGCCTTCTCCCCCGGAGGCTCCCCTTGAAGGTAGAGGCAAAGAATCTTTGGCAGACGCAATGCGTCGTTTTGCTCCCACCGTGAGCGGCAGCGGCCACCGTCTGCTTCGCCGCGTTGCATCTGCCGCCGTCATGCGCAACGTCCCGCTGGCCAAGTCGTCGGCGCAGTTAGGCACGCCCGTCACGAAGGAGGAGGTGGCGCAGGCCTTGAGGGTCCCTGCCGCCATCCTCGCGCAGACGCACAGGCCGGCGGAGGTGCTCTTCACGGAGGTCGACCTTGCACGCGTGCGATTCGCCCCGCTGATCGCCACGCTGGGCGCGGAGGAGGACGTCACGAAGATTGCGGCGGAAGTGAAGGCGGCGAAGGCTGACAGTGCGGCGGCGCGTAAGCCTGTGGCCGGCGCAAAGGAGAAGTTTAAGGGCACCGCGTGGAAAAGCGTCAAGGAGCTGGTGACGTTTTACGAGGAGGTTATGCTGCCCGCTCGTCTGGTGCACCAGGACTACAACTTCTATGAACTGAATAGCTTCCACATCAAGGACGACCTCAAGCGTGGCCTCTCCGCCTTCAAGCAGGACCACCTCGACAAGCAGAAGGTGGAGCTTGTAAAGGTGCAGGCGCAGATGCAGGAGTGCCAGGAGTTTATTAAAAGCGTTGGCACGACGGCCTTCGACACCGCCATTTGTAATGACATTGCAAACATTCTTCGCGTGTGTGGCGAGTGCAACCCGCACGCCCACCGCTTGGCCATGCAGGTCTTGGAGGACATGAACCTTCTCCGGGTTCCCTTCAACGACGTGACGACGAAGTTGCTGCACGCCATCGTGTTCAACGACGGCGCCCTCGACGACTCGGCGCTCATGTTCACGCTGGTGGAGTACCCTGAGCGCGGGGAGGTGAGTGTGAGCCGGGAGCCGGTGGATCGGATAGCAGATGGTGCACTGAAGATCATCAGTGCGCGGCATCAGACGCCGCTGGACGACGGAGTGCTGCTGCACCAGAGTGACACCCAGCCATGCCTGCAGCGGTCGCCGGAGTAGGCAGCGAGGGCACCCGCGCGCCTCTGCGTAATGGGGGCAAAATCTGGAAAAGGAAGAGAAGGGGGAAAGCTGTTTTCCTTACCGTCTGTATGTGTGCGTGTGTGCGTGTGTGCGAGTCTGTAGTGTTTCCGCCCGCACTTCTACGGAGTACCGGGCGATAGTAGGCGTAGGTGGAATTAGGAACACGGAACATGTTTTTTACTTTGTTTACTTTTTTTTTATTGTTTGAAGTGAGTGCGCCAGTGCGGGCGGAGAGGCGATGGAGGGATTGGGGTGGTTGGGGGAATGCCCCCTCCCGCATGGCGGAGGTTCGGCGAGAGGGGAGGAAGCGGCGTCGTGCAACTTGTCTCGGCCTGCGATGGGCTACACACACACTCCATGCGTTGGCTGTCAGTGTTTTTTTTTTGTGCGGTTGCTCTCATCTTTTTTTTTTCTTAAGTCGCTGCGCTCCCCTCCGCGCGCTGCCTTTCAAGTCATTCCACGTCGCGGACTCACGGGGAAGAGAGCGGGCGGGAGCGGTTGAATAGCCGGCAAGGCGTTTGAGCAACGAAGGGGTGCGTGTGCGTGTGTGTGTGTGTGCTAGTGGCGGCGGCGGCATGGACTTTGCCTTTCCGGAGTTTGTGCGGGCCTCCAACGACGCGGCCCCGCCGGCCCCACCGCAGAAGTCGCTGTGGCAACTGGTGATGGAGTCCGGCCCAAACGACGTCATACCAGAACGTTTTGTGCCACGACGTGCGACGGCCTACGACGCCGAGGACCACGACGGGAAGTGGGAGGCGCACTATGGGAGGCGAGACGCGGACGCTGAGCATGTGGCCGCGGCGGACGCCACCGGTTTGGCTGCCGGCACGAATAGTACTGCCGCCGGGCTCACTTCGCGGAGCTCGTGGACCCCAGCCCCTTATATGATCCAGCACCTCATGTCCTCTGGGTTTGTGTCGCAGTTTGCGATGATGCACGGCGTGGAGTGCTCCGCACGCCTGCCCCCGCCCCCTTGTTTGCGGCTGCAGGACTTGCAACTTCCGCCGCTCGTGCTGTCGCGCCTCCGACGGAATTTGTTTCTGCCGCGTGCCACGAAGCCGTCGAGGTCTGACGGTCTTCAGGCGTCGTCGCGGCCGAACCTGCGCGAGCTGCAGGAAATTGTCCTGGGCGTCGGCGTCGTGCAGCCGCCATGCGCTGAAGGCAGTGGGCCGACCAGCGACGAGGCCGCGAAGGGCGACGGCGACGAAGACGGTGTTCTGCGGGATGCGGCGGGGACGCTGTCGGCGCTCCAGCAACTCGCCATAACGTCTATGCTGCTCGGCCACCACACCCTCAGCGTCGGCCCGCGAGGAACGGGGAAGAAGACGGCTGGTTTTTTGGCGACCGGGGCGCTGACGCTGGCGCGGGGCCTCGAGGGCGGGGAGAAGGGTAATAATAACTGCACTGATAGCACTAATAGCGGCGGCGGCGGCGGCGCAAAGGTTGACGCCGTGACGATGGGGGTGAAGCAGGAGCCTGCCGAGGCGTGCATGATGCGCCCGTTCTCCCCACGCGCGCTGATTTTGGTCAGCAGCTTCAACGAGGCCCAGCGCTGCGGTCGGTGGCTGCAAGACGTCTTCACGGCGGCCGCGTTTGCGCCCATGACGTTTCGGCGGGGAACGGCGGATCTTGTGCCGTTGCCCGCCCTGCAGGGGAGGCCGTGCGGCCAGGCGGACGCCGCGCCGCAGGAGGCAGGGGCCCCACCGCCGTCGTGGCTGCCACCGCCACCGCCGCCACCGCCGCCATCGCCACAGGAGCAGCAGCAGACGGAAGAGGCCCAGCCGCACCGCCCACGCGAGGAGCGGCAGGAGGAGCGGCGCGAGTTGCGCAAGCGGAGCCGTGACCATTCGCGTGGTCGCCATCACCGTCGGTCCGGGCGCTCGCCGGCCGCGCAGGAGCGGGCGCGGAGTCGTCGTGGGCGACGGCATCGCAGCTCCTCGCGCCGCACCTCCCGAGAGGGACGACACCGTCGGAGCCGCAGCCGCGACCGTCGCCGCGCGAAGAGGCGGCGCAGCAGCGGGCGCCACCACCGGCATCGCAGCGGCAGCACCACCACCAGCAGCAGCAGCAGCAGAAGCGGCAGGCACGACAGGAAGAGGCGGAGGCGCGAGCACAGTCGGCCTCGCCATAGCCATCGCCACGACGACCATCATTGCGAGGATTGGCCCCACGAATTGCCGCAGTGTGAGGCCCGCGTTGAGCGGCTCCCTCTTCCCTCTTTGGAGCGCTCGGGTGCGGCCACGGCGCCTGCTCCCGCCGCGACGCACGATGCCTCGGCGGCGGTGACGCCCCGTGACGAGGTTCCACGCTTCCTGCAGCAGCGGCTGCCCGTTCTCATAGCGACGCACCAGTCTCTGGTGGAGGCTTTGCAGCTGGTGCAGGGCCAGGCGGAGGTGCTGCCGTTGGAGTGTGTTCGGATTGTGTGCATTAGCGACGCCGACCGCGTGGCGCAGCCCACTTCCCAGACGGTGGTCCCCATGTCGTGGTGGATTTCCCTGTCGAACGCGGTCGATGTGGAGTGTCAGTACATCGTGTCAGCCGCCCGCATGTACGACGAGGTCGACGGGTGGCTGCAGGAGTCACTGCTCCAGGGCACCCCTGACGCGGTGAACCGCTACCGGCAACGCGACGACACGGTGTGGGACGGTGTGCAGCACATACTTGAGGAGGTGACCGTGGACGAGGCCGAAGAGCACGCCGGGCAGCACATGTTTGAGCGTGTTGAGGCGGCGAAGCTGCGTCGCCTTCTGGGCCTTGTCACGCGGCACTTCCGTGCGTCGCATGTCAACGGCGTGGAGCACTCGGATGTGGCGGATGCCCACCATCATGCGCGTGGCGCCGCAGCGACTTCTTCTGCGGCGCCGTTTGCGTCGTCGGTGGGCCGCATGGTCGTGGTGGTCTCGTCGCGGAAGGAGCAGGACGCGGTGTTTCCGCAGCTGCTGGCCGCGCTGCGGGAGCGTGACGCGCGGCTCCGCTGCACCTGCCAGCTGGCGGACTTTCAGCGGGGCGCGGCCGACGTGCTGGTGGCGTACGACTGGATGTTGTGCGTGGCCGGCGACGGGGGCGACGCGACGCCCCGCCCCGTGGAAGTTGTCGTCAACTTCGGCTTCCCGCGTGCGTTGATGGCGCCGGGGAGGGAGGGGAGCCTCCTGGAGTGCCTCGAGATCCGCACCCGCACGCTGCTGCGCCCCACCGCCGCGGACGCCGCGCAGGCGAGTGACGGCACGACGGCTGCCTTCTTTGCGCAGGACGCCGCGCCCGCGCGGGCGCAGCCGACGGTGGTGACGCTCCTGACAGAGCGCCAACTGCACGGACGGTTTGGGCGGCTTCTGACATCGCGTGCCCAGGCGCTTGCGTCGATGTGAGGTGTGTGTGTGTGGGGGGGGGCGCCTCTTCTCCCTTCCCGCATGCCACATCCGTTGGCGCTAGGAGAAGGCGAGAAATAAGTAAGACAAAAAAACGGAGGGAAGTGGAAATGGGAGGCCGCAACTTCCCCAGCCGCGTTGCGTTTTGTTTGTTGGTGTGGTTGTTTGTGAGAGGCGCCATTTGGAAATGAGTTTTTCCCCATCGCTCTCTCTCCCTCTCTCTCCTCCTCTTTCTTTCCCTCTCTGCGTGGCGACGGTCCACCGCCCTCCCTGCACCCGTGCAGGCTCCACTCAGACGCACGCAGCGACTTTGGCGGCCACCGTCGAGCCCCACTCTGCCGTGCAGGACGTCGAGCACCGCGCGACACGACACACGCGCCGGCCGCTGTCATGCTCTCGCGGGGCCTCGTGCTGCGGTCGATGCCGAGGCTGTCGCTGCCGCCCTCCATGCAGCGGTGGTTTCTTTGGTACCCGCGCCGCGGCGGCGAGTTTCTTGGCGACATGCTTGCCGGCCACAACCTCTTCATTGCCGACATTCCTCGCAAGTTTGACGCCCAGCACGCGCGCCACTTCTCCTTCGTTGAGTCGCTCTGCATCACGCCACTTTTTACACTGACGATGGTTCACTACTTCTCTAGCTTTTTCCTCTACCCCACGCGGCGGCAGATGTTTCCGGTGCTCATGACTGAGCTTGCCCGCGAGACCGAGGCGCAACTGCAGTGGATGGACGTCATGGCCAAGAAGTCGCCCACGGACGTGATTGCGTGGCGGGCCCTGATGGCATTGACGCAAGTTGTGCTTTTCCCCGCCTGGCTGCTGCTTTCTGCTTTTGCCCCGCAGCTGGTGCACGCCATGCTGGAGCGTAAGAACCAAATCCTGCACCAGAAGCTTGCATGCATCAGCAAAGACGCCCCACCGTTTGTGCAGCAGCAAATGACCGAGGCCCGTGAGGCGGAGGCATTCCACAGCCAACAGCTACGCATCCCTACGGACTACTGTGCGGCGCTTCTTATCACCCTGTTGGTGCTGTACCTGACGTCGTAGACCATTGACAGATGGCCCCCTTTGCATTTGGGGGGATAAATCTACCTGTATTTTCATACATCTCCGTCTCATTTCTCTCTCTATCGGTGCATGTGTGCGTATGTTTTTTTTTCCTTTTCACGCTGTGCTTGTAAGGGATGCAGCGACAGGAAATGACGGCCAGGCGGGACCTTTCTCTCAGTCCACGTCCTTGCGTGCATGTTTCTCTCTGACGGGAAGTGGCTGCTGTTTTTTTTTCTTGTTTCTCTTTTACCTCCGATGCTTCTCCTTTTCTCTTTCTGCTTATTCTTGCTTCTGGCAGTGTTTTGCCGGTGTCACACGCGTTGCCGCCCTTCCCCTCTCTGCCGAACTGCGTGTTTGGGCGGGGACGCATTGCCGCACCGGCGCAGGAAGCGAGTAATGGAGGGATTTACCCGTTGGGCAGATCCATTCAAAAAAAAAAGGAGGCGCAATTTTGTATTCGACGCGGTAGGAAGCAGCTGGACGGCCGGCGGACATCCCTGCGGAGCATTTTTTTTTGTCAAGGCTGCAGCGGTGCCGCTGCTGGTGACTGTTCCGCCCTCTTTGTTTGAGGTGGATGACGGCTTTGGACGCCATCGTCGCTCCGAAGCGCACAACACGTTATTTTTTTGTTTCACTTCTGACCACAAGTCGTCTCACCTCGGCCCCGCTGGGGAAACGTGCTGGCTGCTCGAGTCGTGCCACCAGTCGGAACGAAGCGCCGCGGCGACATAAGGCGATGACGACCCTGAGCGGTGGATTGGGCGGTGAGCAGCGCGGCATAATCGCTGGCGTTGGATGCCGGTCTTTGCCCTCATACGGGCCGTGTGGAAATCTGCTGGCGCCTCTTCTTGTCTTTCCCCGGTCGCGTGGGCAGACGTGCGATCAGACGCTCCCTGACGCACCGATGCCCGTTTTACGAGCAGGTGATGCGGCGGGCGCCATCGCATCTGCGGGCGCTCGTGGCGTGCGGCGTCTTTGCCCTCCTGCACGACCGGCCGTTTCCGCCCGGTGCCGGAGGGCGCGGATGTGGTCTGCCGCGGCGTTCAGCAGGCGGTGGATGACGTGGGCGATTGCGATTTCTTCCTGACGAACCGTGCGGCCCCCGAGGAGTTGGAGATGCTGCCGCAGCTGCTGCTGCTGCTGAGGCCGTCACCGCAGGAGCTCGACGAGAGGGCCGCCGGCCGGCGCCGGGCCATCGACGTCGGCCTTTGGCTGCTGAGTCGCCACGCGGCGTGGCGGAGGCGCCCGCAGAGCCCCTCCATTTCCGTGAAGAGCTTCAGGCAGTATGAATTCTACAGCCACTTTGGCTTGACGCTGCGGCGACCACCCACTGCGACCCGCGGCCCAACGATGCGGCGGCTGCGAGGGAAGATTGGGACGCCGCCCGAGGCACGTTTCGTTCGCTTCCGCGCCACGAAGGGTTTTTTTCCTCCTCGACGATTGCTCTGCAGAACGCGGAGTCGTTTCCGGACCACTTCCGGTGGGGGCACAGGTGCCGCGGCCCTCCCGCCCTGCATCAGTCAAAACGCTCTGGTGCGCACAACACACACGCGGTACGGAAATATTTGGACTGAGAGCAGCGAGTTGTCGCAGTGGGCGGTCGTCGCAGCGCCATTTTGTCGTCACCGGCGTGTCAAGGAGCACGTGGGAGTTGCAGGTGCCGGCGTATGTCTGCGGCGATGTTGTGCCGGGTGGCCGCACGAGTGACGATGGTGGCGGCTGGAGATGGGCGGCACGCCCCTACGGCTTTTGCGGCAGGTTTTTTGCGGCGCTCACGGGCGAAGTCGCGACGTTTCTTGGCGCGCCGCTCACTCGCTGGCTGGGGAAGCGTGGGCTGTCCCTCGATGCCCTCACCCATGAGAACGGCACGGAGGCGTTGGACGTTCGGTTTGCACCGCTTCTCCCGCGGTGTGCGACTGCGGCGGGTCTTGGCTGCGCCGCCCGCTGGGCGACTCACCCCTCGCCGCGCGACGTGGAGGCGAGTGCAGTGAGGCGTGCGAGGGAGAGCTCTGGGAAGCGGGCGTGCGGTGCTCGGCGGACGAGTTGGATGAGGCGGCAAACATTGCAACACTGCTGGAGTCAAGGGAGGCGCTGCAGCGGGAAATGCTTTTCGTCATGGCGGCCCACGCACAAGGGAGCTCATTGTGCCAAATGGACTTGGACCACGTGGCGCAGAAATACGCCGCCGCCCACCTGCCGCTCTGCCTGAGAAGTTGTCGGCCGAAGAAGCCCCCGTAATGCACCGCATCCAACAGCATATGCCCCGCGCACGTGTCTTGCGGTGCATCTGTGCGCGGTGGGGGGAGTCGTCTCTCGCCCCTGCTGCCCCGGCGGAGGGAAGGGGTGAAAAAACTGCAGAAAAAGAAGGGGAACTTCGCAAGAAGGAGTTGCCGAGGCTTCTGCGGGGTCTCTCCCTAACCTCCGAGGCGGTTGAAAGGGCGCATGGCCTCCGAAGCAGTGAGGAGCTGGCTGCTCGTGCTCAGGAGAGAGAAGCGGCGGCGTTTCGTCTGCTGGAAGCGGAATCGCTGCAACAACTGACCATCAGTTGTTTCCGGCCTTCTCCGCAGCTCTCCACGCGCGAGGAGGAAACTCTTTTGGGGCGGCGGAGCTGCGCGCGTTGATCTCCCGTGTGGATGGGCCGCCTCACCGCCGTACAAGCACCTCTGCGGCGGTCAACTTCAACGGTGGGCCTCCACTTCAATTGTGCGTTAATGCCTTTGCGACGCCGGACATCACACTTCGTTTTTTTTTTAGTTTCTCCGTCGAGAAACTCGCGGCCTCTGAGGGGCAGCGGCGCTGCGGCAAGGCGGTTTCTCCCCTTTCCATCCCAAAGGCGGCCCTTGCATTGGCCGGACTTCTCCCCGAACTCGCGGCAAAGGTGTGGAGGTCACGCTGACGGCGGCAACTCTGGCTGGACTTGGGCTCAGCAGCAGTTCGCCTCTTGCCGCCACGGCGCTAGGCGCCCTGCCGGAGTTTTGCGGCCTTGGCTGGAATGCACATGACGTGGGGCCACGCACACTTTGCCCGGAGCGACTCCTCGCAACTGGCATCGGTGGGTGGGTGGGTCCGTACGGCGGGTTGTGTCGTGGCGTAAAACTCTTGCAGTCCATTTCGGGTTGCTGGCAGGGCCCATGCGCTCGCCGGCTGCCAGTGCACCTTTTTGAGGACCCACGCCACGCGCTGCGCCACCTGCTCTACGACACCGGCGTCACTCACACGTCGGAGGTGAGTTGTGCGGAGTCCGTGCGTGGGGCGTTTTTGAACCGTGCGTCGCAGCTACGGGTGCTGTCCGAGATGTGCCGGCAGGCAGTGAACTTGCATGACGCCATCGCACGCGGGGAGTTTGAGCGCCACGGCGGGCTGATTGGCGTGGCCTGGGAACAGCGAAAGCGCCTGGATGCTGAAGCGTCCTCAGCAGCCGCTGCTGACATCATTTCGCGTGTGGAAAACGACGTTTGGGTCCTGAGGCTCGCGGGGGCTGACGGCGGGTGCTTCTACATGGCGGCGAAGGACGTGGGCGCCGCCCAGCGAATTTGGGGCGAGTTAACAGTAAATCCACCAAACGCCACGGCACGATTTGTGGAGATGGGCGTTTGCCACTGTGGTATCGAAGTGAAGCGGATGTGAAGTGTTAGGGAGTGTTTGTTATTATTCTTGCTGTCTTTGTTTTTTTTGTTTTTGCGTGCTTCACGCTCGTGTGGTCCTCTCCCTGTAACAGGGGGGCTGCTGTAACGATTGCTTACCGCATCAATAGCTATAATTTGCACCGGTTGCCATGATTGCCTTGCCATGGCAGAGAACTGAAGTGGGGAGAAGTGTGAATACCCCCTCTGCATGGGGCTGTGCGAATTAACTTCTGGGTTATGCTGCCACTTTTTTTTTCCTTTTCTCGCCATCTACATTTTTTTTTGAAAAAAAAAAGTTTTGTGCCTGTGCGTGCGCCTTTTATCGTTAGCGCTCTGTTGTGGTGGGGCGCCGTCTTACCACCGTCACCGCGGCGAAGGCAGCTTTCAGGCTCCCTGTCTGCGTGTTTCTGTTGCGTGATCCACTTTTTCTTTTTCAGTTTGGCGGGACGCTGACGGTTCCCACATGTGACTCCCTTTGCCTCCTTCTCTCCTTCGTTTGCGTCCCGTTTTTGTAGACTTGGCGTGGGCGGTGCTGCTGTGGGCCACACGGGCGCGGTGAAAAGTACAGGGCAGGAAGGGCGGGGAGGTTCTGTTCCTTGGCGTCTCTGCGTGCGCTCGCGGGCGGGGATGGCGCCAAAGCGGCAGGCGACGAAGCAGCGGGTGCGGGTCACCAACAGGGCCCGCGAGGCGCGTCAGTTCTCCACCGTTCGTCTGCCGCGGAGGGCGGAGGTGCAGGCGGCGGCGGCGGACGTGGAGCGCATGCACGAGGACCGCGGGGGCGGCGGCGGGCACGGCGGCGGGCAGACGTCGGCGCCTCCCGCCTTTGACCCCATCCCCGCCGACCCGCTCTTTGTCGTGGTTGCGGCGTCCAAGCACTGGCCGCCGCCGTCGCTGGAGGAGCTGCAGGCGGCCAGCGGGGCGCCCATTAGCGACGGCTTTGACGCCTACGACCGGCGCGAGGATGACAGGGAGGCGCGGAAGGAGCGGGTGAAGGTGGTGCGTGGGGAGCTGAACCACCCACGCGGAAAGCCGCGACAGAACACGCTTGTGCGGTTAGACGATAGCGAGGAGGGCGAGGAGGAGGGGGAGGACGCGGGCGAGTAGGCGACCCGGGTCCCCTTGCGGGGGATGGCGGAGGTCCCTAGTGTGGCTATCGGCCCGCCTTCTCCTGCAGAGCACGGGGCGGGGAGGAGGCGCGGGCGGCGCACATGCGAGGTTTGTGTTGGCCGCAGTTGCCAGGCGTACAGGTCGTATAATGTGACTTCCGTCTTGATAACAAGAGGGGAATAATAGTCAGCGGAGGCGAGTGCGGGGAGGCGTGCGTGAAGGATGCTCTGGCAGTTTCTGTGTGTGATTGTGGCGGATGCAACTCAACTCTACTGGCTGCCTATAAATGCCCTTTCCATCGCCGCTGCTTCTTCCCCCTCCCCTCCTCTTGCACTCATATTTGCACACACGCCCGCATGCATGCATATTCTTACTGTGGACCAAATAAGGCGGCAGGGGCGTAGGAAACAGTGACACCTGCGATGCGATGCTCGCGTCCGCGGCACCGCTACGGCGTGACGGCGCTGTTGGATCGCGGCGCGCGGTTTCTCAGCAGTCTGCTCCACGGCGCGTCGCATTTGTCGTCGCCGTCGTGGCCATCGCTCCGCTTTACTGCTCCCCCGCTTTGGGGGAAGAGCGGGTGCTCCCGGGAGGAGTGGCGGCGATGCCTTGGGGAGTCGCTTTGCCGCGGTGCCGCCGCGAGGTGTCTGCTGGACGCGCAGCCGCACGCGGCGGAGGTTCGGGCGTCGCTGGTGGCCGCGTTGTTCCCGAAGCCCCACTGGAATAACGCCGTCACGCACAGCATGGACGGCGACTCGCTCGCATCCCTTGAGAAGGACGTGGCGAACACTGTGGCGGGGCTCCTGCGCCTGCCGGCACGTTTCTTGTGGGCGCCGCGTGCGGAGGAGGAGGAGGTCGCGACGGAGCGGCCGTGCGGGGCTCAACATCCACGCACGCCACTGCCCGACGCTCCTCGTGCCCCGCGGGTCGCAGCTTCACAACCTCCCGCGGTTCACGGCGGCGATGGGGGCCGCACTCCGGGCGCTGGCGGCGGCGGCGGACTGCTGCACAGCACATCACTGGAGAGCCTTATTGTGCTCCTCGCCACTGCCCGGGCGCAGGCGCAGGCTCGCTGCATCAGTGCCCGCTTCTCGAGCCCTGCGGAGGAGGCACGCCTGACGCAGCGGCTGGTGCTTTACTGCAGCGATCAGTCCCAACCGCTGCTGCGGAGAGCCGCACGCTGCATCGGCATACAACACATCCGAGTCCTACAAACTGTGTACTCCCCGCACGTCCACAACTACCCGGTGCTGCTGGAGACGCTGAAGGCGGCACTCGCAGAGGACGTCGCCTGCGGACTCTGCCCCTTGTTAGTGTGTGGCGTGTTTGGGGCCCGCACGACGGGCGCCGTGGACCCGCTTGAGGAGCTGGCAGAACTCTGCCGCCGAGTCAAAGTGTGGTTTCACATCGACGCCAGTCACTCTGGGTTGGCACTAGCTGCTGCGCCTCTTGTGAGGGACGAGGCAGGACAACCGCTGGAGTCCACGCCTCTGGAAGAAATGGACGCCGCGGCTGAGCAAATGTGGGAGCAGCGGAAGCTGACCTTCCATAGGGCTGCCCTGCTTGCGGACTCCATTCACGTTGGCGTCTCAACCTCGTTTCTGCCGACGCTCTCGTCCAACTCCTCCGCCGCGCTGTTGTACGTTGCGGAGGTGGCCAAGGTGGCGGCGGCGATGCGGCGGATGCATGCAGAGGATGAGGCGGGTGGAAACATGTGGTGCACGCCGGATGCGACGGATGTATCGCTCCTGCGGCTGGATTTCCCCGAAATGCGCTCGGGCGAAGTCATCCGCCTAGCTCTCATGCTCATGCCCTGCAATCCCGCCTCCGTGGGTCGCGTAGTTCGGGGGCACCAGGCTGCCCTGCGCTACGTCGAACAGCGCGTACGTGCGGATGGGCGGTTTGACTGCTCTGTGCATGCCTCCTGCTTTGGGATGGTGCTGTTCCGTTGGCTTACGCTCGCGGATGAGGAGACGGCGGCCCTCATGCGGCGCTGGGGCGACGTCCTCGCCTCATCTCCCCCGATGCGCGCAGTTCAGGGCGGCGGCTTCCCGCACCGCGTCTCCCTCGGCCTCACGCGGATACATCGGCGCGTGTACGTCTGCGTCTCCCTAACCGCGGGCGGCGATGGCGGGGATGCGTGCTTGCGCCGGTGTGACATGGATGCACTGGTGGATTCGCTGCGGAGGGTCGCCGATGAGTGGAACGGCTCCTCCACAGTGACGGCGGCGATAACATCTAAGGCGGCCACGTGAAACTTGGTGGCGTTGGGCATCCGCCGGACTTCACTGTGTGTGTGAGTGTGCGGGTTTGCGCGGGTTACTCCCTACCTCTTGAATGTGCTGCCTCGGGGCGGAGGCGCCAATGGCGCGACCTTTGAAGGGGAACCCAATGAAGGCTGCCTCCTAATTGTGTTCCATCGCTTTTGTATTTTTGTATTTTTTTTAATTTTGTGTATGTCTGCGTTTGTGTGTGCCTTTGCTTCTCTCGCCGTGCTGGTTTCTTCCCCCTCGTTAGGGCCTCGAGCGGGTTGCGAAGATCGAACTTTTTTCTGTGCCGATGCGCCGGCTGCCACCACGCGCCTCCGCGGTTGCGGTTGCGACTGTCGCGGCGGCGGCTTCCTCCTCGGGGTTGCGTATGGCCCCCACAATTTCCGCAGGGGTGGCGGCGTGTATTATGCGCCACGGACGCGGTTTCGCGATGGGCGTTGGCGTTGGCGGCTGCGGCTGCGGCGGCTGGAGTTGGCGTGTGGCGCCGCTGGCGCGGACCGACGGGGCCTCCGCGCGGGGCTTTTGCCTGCAGCACTGCCGGGGGGCGCTGAACAAGTTCGACGCGGTTGGGTACGCCGGGCGGGCGCGGAACGTCGCCAACGCCTTTGATGCGCTGGAGATGAACTTGTTTGACGACCCCACTGGCGGGCTGACGGCGGGCCCCGCGGAGGAGCTCTCGACCACGGAGATTGAGCACCAGGTGCGCCTCAACGTCTCCGCCTACTCCCGCTCCATCTTCTACCTGCTGTACACGCCCTTCGTGGACGTGATCTCCGTGCTGCTGGAGCGCGGCCTCGCGCCGAACAGCGCACGCCCAGGCGAAGTGATGTGCCGCTGGTTTACAGACGGCGCCCTGACGCTGCAGAACCCCGCGTGCGTCGAGGAGGGAATGGGGCCGGCGGCGTGGCGGCAGTTGTGTGAGGGGCTGGATGCCTTCTACGAAGACGTGGAGCCGGTGATGCCGCTGACGGCGGCGGTGCATAAACATGGGCTGCCGGAGGAGCTGCTCGTGCCCTTTCTCCGTCAGCTGGCAATGGACCTGCTGGTGCCTCTGCGCAAGCGGGCCGTGCTGGAGATCCTGCCTGGGCTCATTCTCGGCCTGGCGAATGGCCGCGCCCCGGTCGCGTTGGGGTTTCCCACCGACAACCAGCGGGCGCGCGCCACCATAGCGGCGGATCTCTTCCTAGGGGTGGGGCAGGAGACGGGCAACACGGACCTCGCGTACCTCGGCATTCAACTGCTGCGCGCCAACGACATCCCTGTGCCGTTCCCAAAGCAGAAGCAGCTGACGAACGTCTTTTCGGCCGCCACCCGAATTCAGACGGACTGGCAGATGCGGGTCAGCGGGCAGCTTGTGGAGGTGCTGCCGAAGTGGATGGAGTACTACAAGAAGGTCCACGTGGACAACCTCCGGGCCATGAAGGAGCTTAGCGGGGCGCATGCAACGACGGCGGCAGCGCAGGCGGAGGCCGCCGGGGAGGGGGCGGCGAGGAACGCCACTGCCACCGCCAGGACGCCGTCGTCGGTTTGCTGCGGCCACGATGATGGGCTGCACGACTACTTCTCAAGCCACCGTGCGGAGAATTTGTTGCGCCTCTCTGAGCTGGAGCGCCGGGTTTTGACGTCTGTGCGTCGCAGGGAAGTGGCGTGGGAGGATGACAGCAACAAGCTCTACTACCGCTTCAGGCGGAGGCGCCCCGCCACGGAGGAGCCGAGGGCGGCGGCGGCGGACACCCAGGACGCGCTGGAGGGCGTGGATGCCGCGGAAGCCGCGGCGCTGAAGGAGAAGGGACGCCGCAAGCCAAAGGCGCGGGCGCACGCGCAGGCGCGCAAGGAGGCGGCGGCGGAAGTGAAGCCCAAGCAGCGGCGGCGGCCGGAGGTGAGGAGGACAGCCGCCACTCCCGAGTGCGATGACGACGCCAGCCGCGTTATTTTGACCGTGTAGGCACGACAAATGGGAGGCGGGCGCCACCTGCACCTGACACCGGCTTAGTGGAGGTGGGACGTTGCCTTTATGGGCGGCCGGGCTCACTTTTCCCCTTCTCGTTTGGGGGGTGGGGGGAGGGGGTTCCGCCGTTGCTCACACAACACTCGCGCATACGCCATGGCGTGCGTGCAGCTAAACTAAGACGCGCGCTGGCTGCGTGTAGCCGTTGTTGCTTGTATCATTATTATCCGCAGGGCTATTCTGTCGCATTGTGGCTCTTTCTTTTTCCTTCTGTGTCTGTGCGTGTGTGAAGGAGAAGGAGAACTCGATTTTTGCGGGGTTGAGCTGCGACTTTTTTTTTGTTTAGTTTTAATTCCTGATGCGTGCCTTTTTGTGAGGCACCGCGACGCCCTTTAAGTCAGCTGCATTTCTGGCGTCTTTCTTTCTCTCTTTCTCTCTCTGTCTCCGTCTGTGTATTCCGCGCCGCAGAGGAGTTTGTCGGCGGAGGGAGCGAGGCGCACAAAGGGACCAAACACACACGCAGGAGGGGAAGCAGAGCCCTCGTGGTGGTTGTTGTTTGTTTTGTTTTTGTTTAGGTTTGTTTTTGTTGTCGTTGCCGCAGCGTCATGGGCGTCTTGGGGCTGCGCAAGTTCATCGAAGCCTCCTCCTGCACGAAATTTCTCCCCGAGATCGCGCCGGAAGCGGCGGCGCCCGCCTCCGCCCGCAGCGGCGAGGCGACGCAGGCGGCGTGCCACCCGGCACTTTCCTCCAGCCCCGCGGCGGCGCCGCAGGCGGATCACGTCCTGGTGGATTTGAACTGCGTCATCCACGCCTGCTTCGGCCGCGGGGCGTCCACGACGACGAAGCGGGAGGTTGTGCAGGCCGTGCTGGAGCAGCTGCGTGTCCTGCTGACGCTGGTGGTGGTGCCGCGGTTGTCGCTGACGATATGCATCGACGGCCCCGCACCGTACGCGAAGCTGCAGACGCAGCGACTGCGCAGGCGGCGGCTGGCGCTGCTTGACACGGGCGGGGCGCAGCAGCTGACCTCGCTCGCCGTGACGCCGGGCTCCCTGTTCCTTGTGGAGCTGGAGAACGCCCTGGCGGCGCAGTTCAAGCTGCGCGGGGGACGCGGATTTCTGCCCCACTTTGTTCCAGTCTTTCTTCACGGCTCCACCGCGGCAGGCGAGGGCGAGGCGAAGATCGCGCGGGCGCTGGCCCATTTGGCCACCGCCGCCCTTCCGCGGGGCGGGCGCTACGACCCGAACCACACCGTCGTTGTGGTCGGCAACGACATCGACCTCGCCCTGACGTGCCTGGGGGCGACGCAGTACCACAACCTCTTCGTGGTGGGGCCCTCCGCGATGCAGCTGATAAGCGTCTCCGAGATGCTCTACCGGTGGCTGCGTGGCGGGACGCAGGCGGCGGGGGAGTTTCGGCTAACCGCGCAGGAGCTCGCGTCCGTGCGGGTGGACTTTGTCTTTCTCTTCCTCCTCAACGGCGGCGACCACTACGCTGGGGTGGGCGACGTGGCGCACGTTTTGTGGAGGCGCTACCGCACGGTGCGCGCGGCCGCGATGCAGCGCCGCCTGGTGGCCCCCGACCTGACCTCCGTCGACGTCGCGTTCCTCGCGGACGTTCTGCAGGCCGCCGACTACGGCGGGGGGTGCGAGGCGGAGGTGGGGGTGGAGCTGCTCCGCGCGGCGCTGTGGTCACTCTACACCACCGTCACCGGCGTGTGCCCCGACTACCGGTACGTGCCGGCGCCCGCCTCCCCCCACCTCAACCACCTGCGGGCGGCGGTGGTGCACTGCCTGAAGCAGCACCGCGGCATTCGCATTAGGCCCCGCCGCGACTCCGCGGGGCCGCTGACGCCGCTGGAGACGTTTGTCGCGCTGATGCCCACGGAGGCGGCTCTCCCGTCCGGCGTGGCGCAGGCGCTTCGCTCCTCACGCAGGTACGACCCTATAGCCCAGCAGCTGCTCACAAGCAACGACGCGGCGGCGGTGGCGGCGGCAGCCAAGCAGGCCGTCGCGGCGGCAGGCGATTGCCTGACGCTCAGTGAGCAATGCCTGCGGGAGTTCACGTCGCCTGTGCAGCTGAACGTCCTGCAGCCCCCGCGGCGTCTTTCACGCCATGAGCAGCACCGCATGCTCGCAACGAAAGGAAGAATTGAGCGGGAGGAGCCGATTCCGCTCGTGACACACGTCACACTGCCGGAGACGTTCTCCTACGTGGACGCCATGTACCCACCGTACGTGAAGGAGCTGCTGTTTTCCTCGCCGTTTGACGCAGCAACGGCGGGGTCGTCGTCGTCGCCAGGCAATCACGGCGTCACCGGCACGTTGCAGCCCTTCGCACCCAACTCCGTCCGTGAGCCACGGCGGCGGCTGCGAGGCAGGCGTGGCGGCGGCGGCAGTGGCGCTGAGCTGCGGCGCATTCCGGTGCACGTGCAGCCAAGCGAGGAGGTCTCTGCGACGCAGCAGATGCAGCGGACGCTGGAAGCGACGTCGTCGCTGCAAAAGCCGGAGGGGCGCGACAAGAAGACGCTGCGGCGACTTAAAAAGCGGCTCAACGCCCAGCGGCAGCTCGGTGAGAAGCAGCTGCGCTGCGAGGAGAGCGACGCCGAGGCGCGGCGGCACATGCTTCGCCGGAACGACGAGGCCTTCCTCGCGGAGCTGCAGCGCTTCTTGGGCGAGGAGGGCGGCGTGCGGCAGCTTCTCCTGGACGACGGGGGCGGGGCCGCGGGAGGCGGCGGCCGGCAGAAGGACGCAACGCGGGGGAGGAGGAAGAAGGCCCCGGCTGCAGCGGCGAAGGCGACTCTGCGTGGACGCAAGCGCGGCAGAGAGTCGACGGACGCGTCGCCTGCGAAACGCGGCAGCGAAGGGGGCGGCCGGCGGGAATCCCCCAACGGCGAGCCGACAGGCGTAAAGCGGCGGCGGCGGGACGGGAGCCGCACAGTGCCGCACAACCACACGGCTGCTGCCGCCGGTGATCGCCCGGCAAAGCCGCCGGCAGGGACGAAAAAGAAGGAAGGCGAAAAGAAGCAGAAGAAGAAGGGGGCGGCGAACGCTCAGTAAGTGTTAATTGCACGCACATCCTGCGTGCCGTGGCGATTATATATACACACACATATATATATTTGATTGTAACGTGCCCTCCTTTCGCTGCCTCTGCCTCCGCGTGCAGCTGGACCGCTAGCAAACTTCATTCCCGCCAACGGCGGGCTCTCGCTGCCTGCCGCGGCTGCGTGCCACCCTCCTCTCGTCCTCTCGCCTTCTCTTCTCCCAACGACGAAGTTTTGGCGCCGGAGGGCCGGCGGTGTCGTGGGCGGAAGAGGTGGCTGCACTGCGCAGCAGACCACGCGGCCGAGGGACCCGCGCATCAAACAAACAAAACAAACAAAATAAGGAAGAAAATAGCATAAAAAAAAGGGGGGGGCGGCGTGAAAGGCGGCAAGCTGCGAGCCGGTGGCTGAAAAGAAGAGGAGGAAAGGGGAAAAAAAGTAAAGGCAACGGGGAGCCGGTGGCACGGCGGCGACGGTGCGTTCGCCCCCTACGGTTTTCCCTTCACCCACGCCACGCGGCGCGGCATGCCGTTGAGGAGCGTGCAGCCGCGGGGTGAGCCTGCGGGCATGCAGCGCCCCTCGACGCGCGGGTCCGCGAAGGCCGCCCACTTCCCAAAGCGGCTCCCATCAGCGGCGGCGAGGACGGCGTCGCCGGTCGTAGCGGCGGCAACGACCGCGTCTTCAATCCGCCCCAG